AATCTCTTGCTTGTTCCCTGAAACAATTTTCTTCCCTGGCTTTAAATATTGATGATGGTCTTTTCTTTCTTACTCATTGTTTGCATTATTATCTGTATATTACTATTGTTTTATCCTTACCACTTTATTTCATTTTTGTTCTTTACTGTTTCTGTTGGGTTTATGGGTTTACCAGTTTGTGAAACACGGAAGGAGTGGATGTATAGAGATAATAACTGGTGCAAGGGTTTCTAGGGGTTGGGGGTAATGTGGAAGGTGAGAAAATTTCGGGAGTCAGCTCTGACGGCTGGAGGGGGAGGGAGCACTACAATGGAATGTGATTACACAATTCATTTTAAAGATGATTTAATCATGGTGGGGGGCGGAGAAAGAAAATGTTCTAAAATTGATTGTGGCAATGATTGGACAATTCTTGGTATGATTGAATGATTGAATTGCATGATATATGGATTATGTGCCAATAAAACTATAAAAAACCACCATTACAGCAAACAATAAATATCTTTTTGTGTAAAATGAAATAATAAACAAACAAATAAATAAGGGCGGGGCGGGGGGGAGAGTTACAGCTTCTGAAACCTGTAGGGACAATTCTCCCCTGCCCTATAGGATCACCATGACTCGGCATCGACTCCAGGGCCTTGAGCTGGGTTTTTGGTTTCTCTTCTGCCTGGCAAACAAGAACATCAATCATAATCCTTTGCACTCATGGAAAGGTATACAGGTTGCAAATTATTTTATTTAAATTATTTCACTCCATTTTTACAACACCTGTGTGCAGTTGATATTGTTATCATGTTACAATTGCAGAAGTTAGGCTCAGAAATTAAGTGAGACTGTTAATCATGCAAGCGACCCAATGGTTTTGCCTAAAAATGCTATATCAGTTTCCATGGAATCTACCAACAATTCTATCCGGAACGGGAAAGCACAGTATCAGTGAAAATAGGATATAAATCCTGTAAGCATCTAAGACATTTATTGGGAGAGAATGCTTTTCATTTGTATTATACCCACTCTTTTGACAGTCCTAATGATTAGTTTTCAAGAAGTTAGACTTTGATGTCTTAGCTAGTGTTTTTCCCGTATATCTCCAATCCCTTGATAGGCTTAACTAATTAAACAGTGATGTGGACTTTGCATGAAGTACTTTTTAATTAGCCACAGCAATTCCTAAATTATTCAGCCTGAGCTCAGGTCCCTTAATATTCAAACTGACAATCTCGTGCATGTAAAGTTCTTTATTTAAATAGTGACATCTGGGTTTAAGCTTCATAAAGGTTTCTATGGAAACTAACTACAATATCAAAATTTTCCAAAACACCAGAAGTGACCCATTAGAAGAAGTAGAAATGAGTGACAAAAGCAGCTGCCATCCATAGTCTAAAAGGTTAATTCCACTTCCTTACACTAATTTTAATAAATCGGCCTGAATATTCATAAAAAGACTGCAGAATTAATTTGGTTGATATTTAAGTTTCTCAACTGGATCAGAATGATCCATGAAGTGAAAACGTTGTCGTTCCATAATGCTGCTGCCGTCATTGCCACAGAACACAAAGGTTAAGATTGAAATACAGGGCAGGTTGACATGAAGATGTACATGCAAGACTTCCTCTTATATTCTTCAGACGTATTGTCAGGAGAGATCAGTCCCTGGACATCATCCTTAGCCATGTAGAGGGGCAGAGAAAAAGGGGACAGCCCTCAGTGGGATGGACTGACTTGAGGCTGTGGCTGCAACAGGGGCCGAGGAACAGTTGTGAAGATGGCAGTTTCTGTCTGTTTTGCATAAGTCACTTTGGGTGGAACTGGGCTTATGGCACCTCACAACAGCATAGCTAATGGCAGTGGAAGATAAAACTCTAGAATCCCTAGAAAATTAAAGAGAAATAAGTTTCATGAATCAACCTCAAATAGAAAAAATAACACAACGTACTGCTTTCCTTAGAGCGAAGAACAAAAGGACCCATTTGACAAGCCTGACTCTACATTAAAATGCAAACATAGACACGTGTACCAAAGGTTGTAATCACGTGGGAAGATCATAAAAATAGCTTTGATATTCAAACATAAGAACAATGTTCAAATTTGCTAATTGTTATCTCCTGCTGTAGACATGAACCAATCAACCTGTAACCTTGACATTTGTATGTATTCTGACAAATGAAAATGCTAAACACACATGTGCATAGCAGCAGAAATCAAACTTTAGTTCTAAGGAGAACTCAGTTGTTTTCTTAGAAACTTTTCCTAGAAACACATCCAACATGTATAATAAGTGGTATGCTGTAGCTAATAAACACAACAAAGTTACACATAGTTATATCACTAAAAGGCATTTCAAACTTTAACTTGTGTAGAAGATCTCAATTCCGCCAACATGCTTCTCCTGAAGCCTCCCCGTCTCTGTCTCAGGGCCAACAGCTTGTCCTTCCCTGTCTCTGTCACTGGGGACAACAGCTTGCCGATGCTGGGACAGAGTAATTGACCTTCTCTTAGCATCCTTGAATCTTGTTCAAAATGTCTTCAGAGTCAACCCTGCCTCTCCATATTGAGAACAATTTAAAAATTTTTCTTTTTGTTTCATTTCCAACTCTAGACTAAAGCCTTACACATAGTGGGTGTTCAATGAGTATTGTTTCATATTGAATGAGGGAAATATTTATTTAAAATTAATGCATGCTAACAAAATAAATTCTAGTTTTTGAGTCAATTCTAACTTGTGATTTCATGCATGCGTTATTTTAACATGTTAAATATTTAAAATATTATTGAGAATAATAGTTCTTAACTTAAAAAAAGGGGCGGGGGGCCTGAAACCCCTACACTGAAACCGAGCTCATTGTCATCAAGTCGATTCTGACTCAGCGGGACCCCATGGAACAGAGTAGAACTGCCCCTCATGGGAGTGAACAGCCTCTTCTTTTTCCCTCAGAGCAGCTGCTGGGTTCAAACCACTAGCGTGGCGGTTAGCAGATGAATGCTTAGCCAACCTCTCCTCCAGAGATTCTATAGTCAAAGGTGCTATCATTTAAATACTCAGCTATGAATTGACTAGGTTCCCTAAGATGAATTTTGCTCAGAGCACTGAGAAGGATGTGAAAGTTCTCTGTACTCAAAGATCTTATAGTTTAAGCCCTCACAATCTTTGTTATGCAAACAAAGAGACGGACTTTCTTAGTTATCTGAGGCTAGTAATCTAGAGACAGGAGAACTCAATAGGGAGACGGACCTATGTGACAGACAGGTCTGCTAGGAGTACCTCTCCTTCTGGCCCTCGGCTGGGTCAGGTTTCTCAACCTCCATGAAAGCCATACTAAGAAAGTGCTAACAATATTGATGGAAAATAGATCTACATCAAACAATTCCTTAATTTTTATCAAGTAGGAGAAATATTGCTGTATTTACTTCTATCTTAAGGAATTTTCCAAGATCAAAACTTAAATGTGACCAAAATGAGAAATTATTTTGGTAATTAGTCTCATTCTTCTGCTGTCTGGTACCATCATTGTCATCTGGTGTTATAGATCTACTTCAGATGTGTGATTGCTTTAGTTTCTCCAAAGAGATCTCAAGTTCCTGTAGGTCAGAGGTCATAACTTACATGTTACACAATTTACATAACAATGGACATAATTCACATCTGCCTCTTTTGTTGTATGCGGTGTTTGCTACCTGTCTATTATATGCACGGATGTGTTCTAGACTGTCATTGAGAATGTCTGCGTATATGAACTGGGCAGCACACTACTGCCATACAATACTAATTAGGTCCTGGACAGAGTCCTTCCTGACGTGTGTCAGCCACTGTGGAAACCTTGCTTTGAACATTCTTAAGATCAAC